GATGATGATGATGATGATGATGCTAATGATGATGCTGATGATGATGGTGATGTTGTTGATGATGCTACTGATACTAATGATGATGCTGCTGCTGATGATGATGACCATGATGATGCCGATGCTGATGATGACGATGATCATGATCATGATCATTATGCTGATTGTGATGATGATGATGATGATGATGATGATGATGCTGATGATGGTAATGGTGGTGATGCTGATGTTGATTATGATGATGACCCCGACGACGGTGTCATGATCATGATAATGATCATGATCATGATGATGCGTGTGATGCTGATGATGATGGTGGTGATGATGATGATGATGCTGACGCTGATGATGGTGCTGATGACGATGATGATGATGGTGATGATGATGCTTATGATGCTTATGATGATGATGAGGATGAGGATGAGGATGATGATGAGGATGAGGATGAGGATGATGATGATGATGATAATGATGATGCTGATGATGATGATGCTGATGATGATGCTTATGATGCTTATGATGCTTATGATGCTTATGCTGATGATGATGATGATGAGGATGATGATGATGATGTTGATGCTGATGCTGATGCTGCTGTTGCTGATGATGCTGATGATGCTGATGATGATGATGAGGAGGAGGAGGAGAGGAGGAGGAGGAGAGTAGGAAGGGAAGAGCAGAAGGAGAGGAGGAGGAGGAGGAGGAGGGATAAAGGGGGGGGCAAGACGCCGGAACGACGGGGTATGAGGTGCCAGGAGGAGGTAAGAAGGAGGAGGAAGAGGACGAGGACGCGGACGAAGACGAGAAGGTGGAGGAGGAAGGAGGAGGAGGCGGAGGAGGACGGGGATGGGGAGGAGGAGGAGGAGGAGGAGGAGGAGGAGAGGAGGAGGATAGGAGGAGGAAGATAAGGAGGAGGAGTAGAGGAGGAGTAGGAGGAGGAGTAAGTTGAGGAGAATGCGGAGGAGGAAGAGGAAGAGGAGGAGGATGATAAGGAGGGGGAGGAGGAGGAGGGGGAGGAGAAGGAGGAGGAGGAGGAAGAGGAGGAGGAGGAGGAGAGGACGAGGAGGAGGGGGCCCGTCAGTGTCGGCGGTGTTCGGGCAGGAGGGGGGCTGGTCTGGGCTGGAGAGCAGAGAGATGCGGGCCCGAGGGCGGCGGCGTTGGTAGAGGCGGGGCCCGTGGCCGAAGTGGCCTCTCCCCTTCCGTGTCAGCGGTGTTCGGGCACGAGGCGGGCGGGTCTGGGTCGGGGAGTTGCTCCCCGCCCCAGACCCGCGTTACTCCCCGACCCAGACCCGCCCGGAGTGGTTACCGCAGCGCACAGCGCATGAATCTTATCCGACATGCTCTTGATCGTTTGGAAATATTTACCATTTACGGTATGGCGTCGGTAATATTCAAAACCCGACAGGGACCTGAATATCTTGCCTAGCCGCTCTTGGGCGCCTACTCAGGGGAGTGCGGCGGGGACATTGCTTAAGGAATGTGCCCAGGAGGCTTCCGACCCTGGCCGATACACCCGGCCGATACACGATTGGCTCTCCACCACTGGCTTCCAGACCCTGGGTTCCTGATCGAAGGTTTCCCTATCCAATGCCATCACAGTAACAAGGCGGGCCCGTGGGCGGCGGTGCCGGCCTGGGGGTGGGGGGGGAGGGCGTGGCCGCGGTGACTTCCCCTCCACTGTCGGCGCTGTTCGGGTTTGAGGCGGGCGGGTCTGGGCCAGAGCAGAACATCGGAGGGCAAAGGGCGGCGTCAGCATAAGTTCTCAGCGGTCCGCGCGGAGTTCTCGGACCTGCGCTCGGCCCGCTTTTCAGCGCCTTCGGCGCTGCAAGGTCGATGGGTCTAAGACGGGTGCCAGGTTGGCCGTGCTTGTGCTTGTTTCTCGTTGTTCCAATTGTTCAGGTATGAGGTTGGAATCTTTCGCAGCCGTCTGCGGGAAACAATCAGGAGAGGGAGGTCGTGATAGTTGTCTCACTTTATCCCTCCGTCCCTCCCTCTCTCTCTGTCTCTCTCTCTCTCTCTCTCTTTCTGTCTGTCTGTCGCTCTCTCTCTCTCTCTCTGACCCCCCATCCATTCCTACCTCCCCTCCCCTGCCCTCTCCCTCCCCTCATGGCCAACACGCCGGAATCTTCCTCGAGCGTGGATCGACGAATTTGTTTGAGACGGGCATCAACGACAACGTAATCATCAACACCCTCACTGCGGATTACGAGGCCTGCGCTCACTCAGCCGGCGTTTCAAATCGTTCGCTGTCTTGTTTTGGGTTTTCAAATCGTTCGCTGTCTTGTCCCTGTGCGTCACCCACATTCGTCGTCCTCGTCGTAGTCCTCTTTATCCTCCTTCCGCATCAACACTTTTCCTCCTCCTCCTCCTCCTCCTCCTCCTCCTCCTTGTGTCGGTGCTAAATCTGTCTCTCGTTGGTGAAGTGGAGGTGGTTTGCTCCGATCGGTGTCTGTCTTTCTGTCCGTCCGTCCGTCCGTCCGTCCGTCCGTCCGTCTGTCTGTCTGTCTGTCTGTCTGTCTGTCTGTCTGTCTGTCTGTCTGTCTGTCTGTCTGTCTGTCTGTCTGTCCGTGTCTGTGTCTGTGTCTGTATCTGTGTCTATGTTTGTGTCTGCGTCTGTGTCTGTGTCTATGTTTGTGCCTGTGTCTGTGTCTGTGTCTGTGAGTGTGTCTCTGTCTGTCTGTATGTCTGTCTGTCTGCCTGTCTGTCCGGCTGTCTGTCTGTCTGTCTGTCTGTCTGTCTGTCTGTCTGTCTGTCTGTTTCTCTTTTTTTTTTTTTTTTTTTATTTTTTTTCCGTTTTTTTTTTTTCTTTTTGTTTTCTTTTTTTTGTTTCTTTCGTTGTTTTTGTTTCTTTTCCTTTTTTATTTTTTTTTTTTGTGTTTTTCTGTTTTTGGATTTTGTTTTTTTTTTTTTGTTTTTTTCTTATCTTGCTTTTCCTTCTTCTGTTTTTCTTTTGCTTTGTTTTTTTTTTTTTTTTTTTTTTTTTTGTTTTTTGTTTTTTCTTTTTTCTTCTTTTTTTTTTCTGTTTTGTTTTTTTATTTTTTTTTTTTTTTTTTATCTTGTTCTTCCTTGACTTTTTTTGTTTTTTTTTTTTTTGTCTGTATGTCGGTGTCTGTCGTCGTCGTCCTGGCTGTCTGTCTCGTGTGGGTCTGTTCTCGTCCTCCTCCTCATCGTTCTCCCTCTTCATCTTTCCCGAGCGACCCGGATTCGCATCGGCGCTGCCCGACCCCTGGGAAGGAAATAGTATCAGAAGCACCGTGCCGTGAGCTACCCTGCTGTGATCTGGGTGCGGGGGGACGGTGTCGACGAGGCGGAGTCGGCAGATTTTGGCGCGAGAGAGCACAGTACATCCAAAGGCATGGTGATCCGCTCCCACTGGTACGGTCAAGACGCTGAGATAAGTGCCGCTTTGGGCTCAGGACGGCCGCTGGTCTACGGGCCTCGAGATCTAGGTCGGGGAGCGCATTCGTGGCCAGAAGGGGCCCCTCGTTCCCTCTTCGGCGCCCCTCATGGCAGCAGGGCGACTGTGCCGGCGCCACGCGCAGGACTCTGGCCGCCTGCCGCCGCTGCTGCTGGCAGTGCGGCGAGGCGCGCGCTCCCGCCTCGGCTGCCCCGCGACTGCCCCGCCGAGAAGGGGCCACCTGCCGCCGGAGGCGGCCGAGGCCGCGACGGCCGCCTCGGCGAGGTGCGCACCACCCCCTGCTCCTCCACGAGCGCCGTGCGCCCCGCGAGGGCCCCGCCGAGGAGGGGCGGGGACCGCTCGCCGCCCGAAGCGGCCGAGGCCGCGCCGGCCCCCCGGCCGTGCACGCCCACCCCGTGGCCCTCCAGACCGCCTTGCCGGGCCACCCGCTGCCCCACGGAGGAGGGACAGGTTGCCGCTCGGAGCAGCGGGGGTGGAGGAGGAGGAGGAGGAGGACCGGGTGAGGGTCCCCCCATCGCTGCGCTCGGAACCGCCAGGGCGGGGTTCGGCCCGCAGCAGGGCGACTCCTCCGGCGGAGCCCGGCGGGCCCCTGGCCGAGCAGGCCCCTTGGGGGGGTGGTCCCCATCGCGGGCCCTGCCCCGCGCGGAGTGGCGGAGGCCCCCCGCCCGCCGGGAGGCGCGGGCGCCGGCGGCGGCAGCCTCCCGTCGAAGGGCCCACGGCCCACAGCGCCGCGGGCGGTGCCCCGTTTGGGCTGGCCGCGCGCGGCTCGCCCTGGGCCGCGTCGGGGGCGGCGGCCGTTGGGCAGCGTCGGCGTGGGCGGCGAAGCACGTGGCCCTGGCGGCGGCGGGGCCAGGAGCGAGGGCCTTCCCCCTCCTGCGCCCCGCGTCTCCCTGCCGACGGCTCATCAGGAGCCGTGCGCCCAGGGATTTCCTTTCCGCGGGCGCTGAACTGTGCTGAGTGCGCTGGGCGTCGCCATGAGCCGAAGCCAAGGCCCATGGGGGCAACGACAGGCTTAGCTGGCTTGGCCGGCCACCTTAGTTGTGCAGGAGTCCCACCAGCCCTCTGGGCATCGGTGGTTTAGGGAGTTCCCTCTTCCACCCCTCCTTCTTCCCCTTCGGGGAGGGGTTTACCCCTCCCCCTCCCCCCTCCCCGTGGACCTGGACGGGAGGGGCCGCGAGGTGTCAGGGCGTCCAAAACGGCCTCGGCGAGAAAGCCAACATCATTGATTTTACCCAGGTTTTGGCACCAGTTTGGCCTCCTGGGGGGGCGAGGCTAATGAATGCTCTGCACTTCTTTGATAGATCTCCTCCAAGATGGCCCCAAGAAGCGCCCAGGAGGCCCCAAGAGGTCCCAAGATGGCCCCAAGATGGCCCCAAGAGGCCCCCAGGAGGCCCCCAGGAGGCCCCAAAGAGACCCCCAAGAGGCCCCAAGAGACCCCCCAGAGGCACCTAAGATGCTCCAAGAGGCCTCGGCGAGAATGACAAAACGGCCTCGGCGAGGAAGCCAAAATCACTGGTTTTACTAAGGTTTGGGCCCCATTTTGGCTTGATCGATCTCCTTCAAGATGGCCCCAAGATGCGTCCGTAGCCATTTTGGCTCAAGGCATTTTGGCTCGAGCCATTTGGGCTCAAGCGATTTGGGCTCAAGCAAACGTTTTGGGCTCTGCGGAGAGTGCAGTGGCCCTCGTCGCCCCGAACATGCTCGACGAGCGCACACGGTTTATCATGTTCAATGTTCCGCCGCTGGTTGCCGGAGTCAAATTGGCCTGTTCATCATTGGGGAGGGACCCCTTGTCGCGAAGCTGCTTAGACTGTAAAGCAATCGGTGCAGCCATATGAAGGGATCGGCTCGGTTCGGTTCGGTCCGGTTCTGCAGCCGGGTCGGTTTTGCTTGGCCGGTTCGGTTTGGCATCGGTCCGGTTTCGGCCGGTTCGGCTTGGGCCTGCCGCCGGTTCGGTTCGGTTCCGGTTTTCGCGCGGTTGGGTCCGACCGGTTCGGTTCGGTTCGAGTGGCCGCTCCGGTTCGGTTCGGCCCGACTGGTCAGGTGCGACGTTGGGCGCCCCGTCTGCGTAAGCGACGACCCAGTTTGAAAAAAAGGGAGGGGTGAGGAGGAGGAGGAGGAGGAGGAGGAGGAGGAGGAGGAGGAGGAGGAGGCGGAGGAGGAGGAGGAGGAGGCGGAGGCGGAGGCGGAGGAGGGAGGAGGAGGACGACGAGGAGGAGAAGGAGGAGGAGGAGGAGGAGAAACGTGGAGGCGTGGAGGCGCGAGGCCCTCCAGCGACGTGCCCCGACGGGGGTCGCAGCCCCGAGGGGGGTCGCAGCCCCGAGGGGGGTCGCAGCCCCGAGGGGGGTCGCGCCCGCGAGGGGGGTCGCGCCCGCCAGGGGGGTTGCACCCGCCAGGGGGGTCGCACCCGCGAGGGGGGTCGCACCCGCCAGGGGGGTCGCACCCGCCAGGGGGGTCGCAGCCCGCCAGGGGGGTTGCACCCGCCAGGGGGGTCGCAACCGCCAGGGGGGTTGCACCCGCCAGGGGGGTCGCGCCCGCCAGGGGGGTCGCACCCGCCAGGGGGGTCGCGCCCGCCACGGGGGTCGCGCCCGCCAAGGGGGTCGCACCCGCCAGGGGGGTCGCGCCCGCCAGGGGGGTCCGCGCCCGCCAGGGGGGTCGCGCCCGCCAGGGGGGGTGCACCCGCGAGGGGGGTTGCACCCGCCAGGGGGGTTGCACCCGCCAGGGGGGTTGCACCCGCCAGGGGGGTTGCACCCGCCAGGGGGGTCGCGCCCGCCAGGCGGGTTGCACCCGCGAGGGGGGTTGCACCCGCCAGGGGGGTTGCACCCGCCAGGGGGGTTGCACCCGCCAGGGGCGTTGCACCCGCCAGGGGGGTTGCACCCGCCAGGGGGGTTGCACCCGCCAGGGGGGTCGCGCCCGCCAGGGGGGTTGCACCCGCCAGGGGGGTTGCACCCGCCAGGGGGGTTGCGCCCGCCAGGGGGGTTGCACCCGCCAGGGGGGTTGCACCCGCCAGGGGGGTCGCACCAGCGAGGGGTTGCGCCCGCCAGGGGGGTCGCACCCGCCAGGGGGGTTGCGCCCGCCAGGGGGGTTGCGCCCGCCAGGGGGGTCGCGCCCGCCAGGGGGGTTGCACCCGCCAGGGGGGTTGCACCCGCCAGGGGGGTCGCGCCCGCCAGGGGGGTCGCGCCCGCCAGGGGGGTTGCACCCGCCAGGGGGGTCGAAGTCGCTGTCGCTGTCGCCGCCGCCGCCGCCGCCGTCGCCGCCGCCGTCGCCGTCGCCGTCGCGGGTCGCCAGGGGGGTCGCCAGGGGAGCTGCCAGGAGGGTCGCCAGGGGCCCCCCCGGGGCTCCCCCGCGGCCCCCCGACGACGACGGCGACGACGACGACGACGACGGACGCTTGCCGACGCCCGCGCCCGCCGACGCCGCCGCCGTCGTCGGTCGTCGTCGGTCCGAAGGTGTTTTTTGTTTGGTTTTCCTGCTTTTGCCCCCCGCGGAGGCTTCGGGGGCCCGACAGGGCACACCTGCTGACACCAGGCTGGAATAGATTCCAAGAGAAAAGGTTCTGGGACCGATTTTGAGCGGACCGTCGTCGTCGTCGTCGTCGTCGTCGTCGTCGTCGTCGTCGTCGTCGTCGTCGTCGTTGCGCGCGCCCGCCAGCCAGGTGCTGGATTCGGCGGACTCCAACGGGGTCCCGGGGTCCCGGGGTCCCGCGGTCTGGGGGTCCTGGGGTCCTGGGCCTGGGGCCTTGGGGCCCAGGGGCCCCGGGGTCCTTGCCAAGGACCCCGGGGGGAGGAGGATCGAGGGAGGAGGAGGAGGAGGGAGGGGAGGAGGAGGGGGAGGGAGAGAGGGGAGGAGGTGGGGGAGGAGAGGAGGAGGAGGAGGAGGAGGAGGAGGAGGAGGAGGAGGAGGAGGAGGAGGAGGAGGAGGAGGAGGAGGAGGAGGAGGAGGGAGGAGAGGAGGATGAGGAGGAAACGGAGGAGGAGGAGGAGGAGGAGGAGGAGGAAACGGAGGAGGAGGAGGAGGAGGAGGAGAAGGAGGAAGAGGAGGAGGGGTCGCGGGAATCTTCGGGAGGTTCTGGGGTCATCGGGGTCCCGGAGTCCTGGGGGTCATCGGGGTCCTGGGGTCCGGACCAGAGGGGAAAGGGGTTCGGTTCGGTTCCCGTCGGTTCGGTTCAGGGGCCGCCCGGTTCCGGTTCGGTTCCGGTTCTGGTTCGGTTCGGTCCTCGCCGGTTCGGTTCTGAATGAATTCGGTTCGGTCCGGTTCGGTTTTCTACGTTCCTGGTTTTGGACCGGTTCGGTCCGGTTCGGTCACGGTTCTCGGTTCTCGGTTCGGTGCGGTCCCTTCAAGCATAAAGCGGCTATTCATCACACCCGAGGGCCCGTTGCATCGTCAATTGAATGAAAAGGCGCGCAGGCGGCTCACAGAGCAGGTAACTTGGGGAGGCCCGCGGATCTTGCTATGTATCATATGTTATAACATATGGCGCATACTGGAGGACGATATTTCCGACCAGTCGCTTTTTTGTCAACGTGGCGATCACTCTATTCATTGTTGCAGGTGTTCTCAAGCCACGTTGGATCACCCCTACGGTCATGACAGGGGCGCAGCTTATTTATGATATTGTCCTCATCTGCATTGCGACCACTGCTAACAATAGCGACGCCTTTCTGAAAGCCGCCCCTTTTCGAATTTGCCAGCGGCTCACGATCTCCATAGCTGAGGCGAAGCCCAGGATGACTCTGTTTTTGTGTATTGTGTACGTCGCCCTGACGCCATGGTATGACACGCAGGAGTCCATTTCATCGCTTTTCATCTACGCCATAACAGCCACCGTCACGCGGTCCCGCGATGCTGAGTTCCTAGCAACGTTGGAGGCGAAGGCATCGAGAAATGTTGAGTCCACAGCCACTGGACTTCTTTCAAGTGTGTGCGACGCGGTGGTGCATCTGTCGAAAGATCTTCAGTTCTTGAAGCAGTCCAGTCACCTTGCCTCGCTACTTCTCAGATATCCCATCGATATAGGAGTCGGCACCCCCGTTGTTGATCTAGCTTTCGACGATACTGAGGTAGAACGTCTGACTGATTTTTTGAAACGGCCAGTGCCTAACACTAGCACTCTTCACGCGTCCTTCAAGGATGCATGGGGCAAGCCTGTAAATGTTCAGCTGTTCCACGCCCGGGGAGTTGATATGGACGACGAGCCCATCCACATCGCTGGTGTGAAGGATGATTCGGACGAGCCTCGGGCGCCGCCCGAGGCTACGTTTCGCGACAATACTGTGGCGCAACCTTTCACGCCTGGAGGTGTTGCAAGAATCCCAGAGGATGCGGTCAGCCTCTCAGGGAGCTCTTCTTCTGGTCTACTGACCGACGCCCCGAGTGGGGTACTGTCTGTTCACCTCGACCCAAAAGCGTTGGGCTTGCGCGTATTAAAGTGCACCCCCGAGTTCACGAGTTCGGTTGGGCCTGTTTGCGAGGGCGTTGAGCTGATGCAGTGGGTCATTCATGATGCGGACTTTTTGAGCTGGGAACAGGGTGCGTTCCGTGCTCTGATGGACGCTCATAAAGACAGGGATGGCGAGCAGGACATCGAGTTGGACGTAGATCCATTCCCGATCCGCCTCAAGCTGCCCCACATGGGTCCAAGAATTTCCGACGTGCATGCGAACGCGAGCTTGAAGCTGCACGTCTCGGAGGCCGAGGGCGGCAGCGCGTCCCTCGATCCACAGATGCTGATGAGTCTGGATGATGTCCGCTACGTTCCTCGAAGACAGAGGGTGTGAGGGTGCGGTGCGGCCGCGGAGTCCACCGAAAACCATCTCGGTATTATGACCAGTGGTGCTCCTTTCTCACCCTCCCTCCAAGAAGCTTCGTATGGTGATGTGTTGTACGCCTGGGCCACTTGCTGCATGCTTCAATTTTCGTACCTCCGCCGCGCCAGTTCGTTCGTGCGTGCGGTTGCGAGCATAACCACCCCTGGTTAGCCGCGCCATGTAATAGTGAGAGTTATTTGCAACGGCAGTCGGCAAGCGATTATCGTAATAATTTACCACCGCCGTAGTCATTTACCACCGCGCTTAGCATTGTACACCTTGCCGTGCATTTTTCCAGAACTGTACAGCTATTTTCGGCGCTCCCCCGCTGCGAACTTAGAGGGCCGCGCTCAAGCGCGAACTCCAGCGTCCTGCTACGGTCTTGCGACCCTTTGATTTATGAGATTGGATTCTTAACCATGGAAGAACAAAAATGGCCCCAAGAAGCGCCAAGGAGGTCCCAAGAGGTCCGAGGATGGCCCCATGATGGTCCCAAGAGGCCCCCAAGAGGCCCCCGGGAGGTCCCAAAGAGACCCCCAAGAGGCCCCAAGAAGAGACCCTCCAGAGGCACCCAAGATGCTCCAAGAGGCCTCGGCGAGAATGCCAAAACGGCCTCGGCGAGGAAGCCAACATCATTGGTTTTACTAAGGTTTTGGCCCCAGTCTGGCCTCCTGGGGGGGGGGACGCTAATTAATGCCCCCCTTTTGTTTGATCGATCTATTCCAAGATGGCCCCAAGAAGCGCCCAGGGGCCCCAAGAGGTCCCAAGATGGCTCCAAGATGGCCCCAAGAGGCCCCCAAGACGCCCCCAGGAGGCCCCAAAGAGACCCCCAAGAGGCCCCAAGAGACCCCCCAGAGGCACACAAGATGCTCCAAGAGGCCTCGGCGAGAATACCACATCATTGATTTCACGAGGGTTTTAGCCACATGTTGGCCTCTTGGGGGGGAGCACTGATTAAGATGACTCCAAGAGCGCCTCGGAGAGCCCAAGATGACCTTCAAGATGGCTCACGATATCCCAAGATGTCTTATAATGGCTTCCTTTGTGTGCTGCCCACTTCCCTGATCCAGGCAATTCCTCTGGGCATCGTTTCTGGATGGGCTGGTCGGGATTCTTTTAGTCAGCGGCCGCGGGCGAGCGCGCCGGCGGCGAGCCAGGTCAAAGCGGGCTACGCAGCGACGAATTAGGCGAAAGCAGCGGAGACAGGCCACGCCTAACGCGGCTAACCGAGGCCTCACGCGGCAACTCGACGGCGGACCGGCGGGAGGCAAGGGCAACTGAGATTGAGTCGAACAGCCAGCGTGCGAGTATGCATGGCGTCGGAGGCTGGTGGGGATTCGCGAAGCGTCCACAATTCATGTGCCTTCCCCCTCCTCTCTCTCCCCCCGCCACAGCTGGCCGGGGAGGGCGGCGCGCCGCGCGCACTGCCGCCGCCGCTGGCGCTGGGTCGAGCGGCCGCCTTGCGCCTGGTGTACGGCGCGGGCCCGCGGCCGAGCGGTCCCTCTACCCTTTTTCGTTTGTCCCTCTCGGCGTGGGCCACCGCCTAAACTACGCTGCCCGCGTCCACGAACTCACCCAGAACGCCCAGAGAGCTGAGACCCTGGCTATTCTCCACCTTACCGCCGCTGCCGAACACCCTGTCCTCGTCTGCGTCGACAACTAAGCCGTGGTTGACGGCCTCCAGCGGACCCTTGACGGCCTTACCCTGGCTTCAGATGGGCCGCAGGGTGACCTCTGGAACCGCAACAAACGCTGCGTCCTCGCAAAAACCTAATTTCTTCCAGGTGGAAAAGGTCACGAGCCACCTTGGCGATGCGGGCGTTAACGCAAATCGCACCAGCGTCATAGCGGAAGAGTTCAATCGCCAAGCAGATCACCTCGCCACTGATGCGGTCGCCTTTCCACCACCTCCCACACCATTTCATTGAATCAGCGAAACAGCGACACCGCTTTGCGGTGCTGCTCCATAGCGTCGCGGTTACCATCTACGACAAACGACACCGCACGCTCCTACTTCCCCACAAACGGGCCGGATTCACAAACGCGCGAAAATGAAAAAGTCAAAGGGCTACTTGAACACAATGCCAAAGATTACCGCGAAGCTCGAACCCATCTTGAAATCGTGGAAAACGATGACAAGGGGGACGACATACCATTAGCACCGCAATCAGCCAGGTGATCAGCACGGTCATTTAGTACGGCACCGTTGTGAGAAACAACCTTGATCCACGTAATCTGATGATCGATATTGTCAAGGATCTGCCGCGTCCTCAAGACAAGAGTCAAGTTGCGACCAACTCCTATGTTAACGGCGGGCGCCCCTCTCTACCAACCAAGCCCCCCCAGCGACCCCGACGCCCTCTGGGAGGAAGCCCATCGCGCTAGGGCTAACCCCGACGACGACGAGGAGGAACCCTTGATCTTCGGGGAATGGACGATCTGGAAACAAACACCCACCCGACCACTACCGATGTAATACCGACAACGATCCCCCCGAAGCATTGGACCAGTAGCACCGACCACAGTCGTGCCGACAGGGGGACACCGCGACCACGTCCTTCGACAGCGAGGATGTTAGTGCGCCAGGCCGAGGGAGCGAACCTCGGGCACCGACCATAGCCGCGCTCAAGAGGGAGCTTGACCAGCCCCCTCTCCACAGTACCACCGCCACCACGAAGAGCAGGGCGAAAGCCCTCAATCCATCTCCTGTCATGGCGGGCGCCGACTGCGCCTTCCTGAAGCACGAAGACCTGGGTCACCAAACTGGAGCGACAGCGACACAGCCGTCCCCCTGAGGTTGGGCCGACCGCTACTGCTCCCGCTATCCAGTCCCAGGCCCAGCGACTGGCCAGGCCGCGGGCTCCCCCAGTGCCGCCAAAGGTCAGGGTCAAGCCCGAACCTGGGACGTTGCAGCCCAAGGCCGAGCAAAACACCACCCAAAGTGCCGAAAACCGCGGCCCAAACAGGAGCCATAGAGCGGCCACCCAAGCGGGCCCACTGCTGCAAGAGCACCTGAACCCAGGCCACGGGCGTGACAGGGGCACCGCCTCCCCCCCGACATCCGCCCGCGCCCATAGGCCGGGCTTGGCTCCGTGCAGCGCCTCCACCGCGCCCGCGAGACCTTCGCGTCTCTCTCTGCCAGCCTGTCACCAGGTGGAGCGGCACGACTCGTGGCACGACCTGCTCAGGGTCGTGCAAGTCCGCACAGGGCCCCCAACCTACCATTGCTAAGGCCTTACGGCCAGTGCCGCCGAGGAGGAGGAGGAGGAGGAGGAGGAGGAGGAGGGGAAGGGGGAGGGGGAGGGGGAGGGGGAGGGGCAAGCTAGGTGCGCTCGCGTCATGTCTGACATCCTACCCCTCCCTCACATCCCTTACCATGGCGCAGATCCCCCCTCTACTCGCTCAGTCGGATGTCGAGCAGGGCAATGATCCCGAATGGGTACGCGATGCATTGTAGAGCACGGCATGGCATGGCGTAGAAGAGCACCGCAAAACGTAGTATCAACCTAGCATTGCATTGTATGCCGTGGCATGGCACGGAAAATGTCGCCAGCGCTGCAGCGGGAGCACGAGTCGGAACGAGCGGAAGCGCGGAAATGAGGCCAGCGCTGCAGCGGGAGCACGATTCGGAACGAGCGGAAGCACGGGAATGAGGCCAGCGCTGCAGCGGGAGCACGATTCGGAACGAGCGGGGCCCGAAAGTGAGGCCGGCGCCTCAGTGAGAGCAGCATTTTGGAACAAAAATATGCAGGCGAAAACCCAGCTCTGGGGAAACTTGTGTGTAAAAAACAGTACGCGGGGGGGGGGTCGGCCACTATCAAACCGTCATCAGGGGAAGTGGGAGAGTCGTATTCATATTGAGTAATTGTGGAGGAGGGGGGAGGAGGGGGGAGGAGGAGGAGGAGGAGGAGGAGGAGGAGGAGGAGGAGGAGGAGGAGGAGGAGGAGGAGGAATGGGCGGAATGGGCGGTGAGGCGGGTCAGCAGCGGCAGGCGCACGCAGCCCGAGGAGGCGATTACTAGGCCAGGGGAGGAGCAGCAGCAGCACCGGGAGCGGGCACGGGGGGTCCCAGGTCGGCTTCGAACCTCTGGACCTCGTCCGTGCTAACCTCTCTCGGATCTGCAGAGTGCTCACTCTCCCTGGGGTGACTGCCCTGTCGCAGGCGGTTCCTACGGGTCTTAGCATTCTTATCTGCAGATGTGAACTTACAAATTTCGGCCAAGCCCCGCAACGTGAGCGACGAGAAACTCCCGCAGTTATAGCAGAAAACAAACGGGCCTGTCTTCCAGAGTGCGTGGCCTCGGAACAGGTTCCTAATACCTGTGGTGGAGGAGGAGGTCGGAGGAGGAGGAGGGGGAACATGGCCTCCTGGCCTCCTACACACCGTGCGGCCCAGGCACTCTTCGAATCTGAATGTTGCGCGCTCCTTCCTCGCGGTGGCTTTGCGTCCGCATCGGAGGCAGGAGACGGCAGGCCCTGAGAAACTAACCAGGTGGGGTCTCTGCAGGGCGACGCGGGGCCTTCTTCTGGGGGCCAACACTCCTCCTCTCCTTCTCCTCCTGGCAGGGGGGGGGTCGGGGTAGTGTCGGCAAAAGACCCCGTCCTGACTGCAAGGTAGGCCACAACTCAAAACTGCTCGAACGTCCGTATATATATATATATATATATATATTTGCTTATACGTCGTGCTAGTGCCTACAGGTCGAGGGGCGAGGTCAGCCCCTTCTCGGGCCGCTTCGTCCGCCTCTTTCTTCCCTCGGGCGAGGAAGCTCACTCTGGGGTCATCCGAATTCAAGTGCTGCGAGGAGTGGGCCTTGATTTTGACCACAGTGAGCCCTGCCAGGCCAGGAAAGCTATCATCTAGCACGTTCCAAATCTGAGTCCAAACATCAGCATGCGAGCGAACTCCTTTGGTGCACCAGGCTCGGCCTCTCTTGAGGCCTCGAAACAAAGTACCGTTATCAATCCCCACGGTGAGCGGGGGAGTGGCGAACTGCAACAGATGTGCGAAGCCTAACAGCTCACACCGCAGGACAGAGAGGGTTGCTCGCACGCCAGCAGGGCATCCACATTGCGAGAATTCGACGACGAACGGCGACTCTCTCACGAACGAGAAACCCCAACCGAAACTCTTGTATCCTGGATGCCCTACTCCCGGTCCGTCGGAGAAGGCGAAGCCACTGTACAGGCCTGGCTCTCCTGTTCGGGCTTGAATTCACTCGAACTGAAAATCTGAGGTGGGATCCGCCACAGGATGGTCTACAATGCCTCGGGCAAAAAGTGGCGTTGGGCCCTGTGAATAATTTCAGCGTTGTCTTCAGCAATATCCCTGCACTGCTGGTCGAGTGCACTGCACCTGCAGGACCCGTGCTGCTGTGTGCCGATCTCACTGCCGCATGCTCGGCAATCTTGTATGCCTGTCTCTCCTCTTC